TTGATGCATCAAGAAGGAAAAGAGAGGAGGATTCAAGATTTGAAATAGTATATGAGATAACTAAGAAAGAATTGTTAGGTTGGATTGTTGGAGTGAAACGTGCAGATTGGTGAAAAATGAATATGTAGTTTTGACAGGTGGTAAGAACTAGCTATTGATGTATTATTGAAGCCAATTTCAGAATAAGATAATACAGAGGCAAATCTTACTATAGCAGGTCGCATATAGGTACTCATTGAGCAACCGGGTGAGTCTCCACTTGTAATTTAGGTACCAAAGAGATTAACTCTTTAGAAAATTTTAATAGTTTAAAAAATTATTACAAAGCCTAATAAAGTGAAGGCAGGACTGCCGAATTCATAAAAAAAAAAAAAAAAACTAATACTATACTAATAAATATAACTATAATAATAACTAATACTAACTATAATAAATAATAAACTATAATCTATACAATATTATATTGTATTATAATCTGTTTTGTAACATTTTCCTCCCCTTAAGATTTTATTCTGTAAAATCTAAACTTGTTGTACTTTAACTACTGTATTTGTTTACAGAGAGTTATGAGTTTATAATAATCCTCTTTGTTATTACCACATGCAAAAATTCTATTTTTGCTTGTGCTTTTCTTTTTCTACTATATGGTTTTACTTTTTAGAACAACTATGTGCAAAAATTTCAATTCGGCATTATTGGACAATACTTGGTATACTTGGCAAAAATTCTTGGCCTAGTATGTTTTTAAATATTTTCTTTGTCTATTTCCCCTTTAAATTCTGTGAGGTCCACCAAACTTCTATTTTTGTATGTCTAAAATTAGCTTTCATTTCTAATTTGTTCATCTTTGTCTAAATTTGTAAATCACATCATTATTGTTTGTGATTTTCTTTGTTTCTGCCATGTGATAATTTTCTTTGTCTTAGGAAAATTATCTTTATTGTTTCCAATTCTATTTATATTCTTGTTTTTCCATGTATGCTGTTTTTCAAAACTTTATACACAAATCTTCTTTTTCTTGTACAGTTCTTTCTATAATTCTTTCTGTTAAAAACTTTCTTATTTAATACTCTTTTCTTCTTTTTCTTTTAGCAATAATTTCTTGTTAAATCTTTTTTGTCTTCCTGGTCTTTGCTTTTGTCTTTTGCCAAAAAGTAGGTATACTTTTCAGGCTGTGTGCTAAACTTCGTTGGCTTTACTCCTTCGGGGCAACCGCCGGTCTTCCATGTCTGAGTGAGCTAACTTTCCTTTGTGCTTGGATGATTGATTTTCTTCATGACTTGCATAATTGATTGTATAGCCTCGGTGGATACTTTTCCCTTTGTCTTTTCCCTTTTCTTTTTCTTTTTCTATACTTCTGTCTTTTAAGTGTATCTATCTTGGAAAAAGCAATCTTTTTCTAACTTTTTTTTCATTAAATTTAGATGCTACGTATCGCTCGCAGCTAGTCCGTTCCATCTATAGTTCAGGGTTTGCAAAACCAGGTTGCAAACCTACAAGCTCAGGTCCAAGAGCATGATCCAATAGAACTAGTACGGCTAAATTACCAGTACGAAATGCAGATAGCAAAGTTGCGAGAAGAGAGAAATAGGCTTCGAGTGCAGGTGACAGATTTGGAGACGGAGATAGGAGATTTGGAGTCGGAGGTTGAGGCATTGAGGTTTATGGTGGAGGGTAGTTCGAGTTTTAGTTTGGTAGAGTTGGTAGTCATTCCGGTTCTTCTTTGTTCTTTGTTTTATTTTTCATTCTTTTTCTTTAATAAATTTTTCAGTTTTTAATTTCTAAGTTGTATCAATTTCTAAATTTTGTTAATAAAAATTTTAAACTTTAAATGTTCAAATATCTAAGTCTAATAAATTTTCAAAACTAAAATTTCTAATGTTTAAATCTAATAAAATTAACTAAATTTACTACTATCGAAATATTGCTTTAAAAATTTGACTTTTTCGTTTGCTTTGAATAACAATATTAATTAAATAATAAGAACTAATAATTAATTGTTTTGTCATTCCCATCCAATCAGGTTTTAAGCATGTTTCGTCTATTGTAATTAATAAGGCATGCATTACGTATTTTTCTGATTTTAAGAAATTTTCTTTTCTTTCTTCTAATGTGAATAACAACAACAACAACAACAACAACAATAATAATAATAATAAAGATAATAATAATAATAATAATAATAAAATAATAAAATAATAATAATAATAATAATAATAATAATAATAATAAAAATAACAAAATAAAATGCCTCGAGTTCATATCTCTTGTGCTGTTCAACGTGCCAGATGCAGTAGCAATGAGGCTTTCTATGGGGCTCTCATCGAAGTTCAAGATCAGAACAGAAGGTAAATATTCATCAATTTTTTTATAATTGTTTTAGATAAAATATTAATATTGTTAATTTATTTTTAAGTTGTTGTGTGAGGTGAGATCCTTGAGGAGACAAATCGTTGTGTTAGAAGCAGAGTTAGAAGAAATTCGGTTTTGGGAAGTGGAGTCAGTAGAGGAAAATTGGAGAAGAGATGAGGAGCATTGGAGAGTGGTTCAAGAGAGAAATCAGTTGCGAATTCAAGTTGCTGAGTTGGAGAGGCATATAGATAGTGTTACAATAAATTTAGATACAGAATTTGATATTTAAAATATATTTGTTTTTCTATATTTTTCTTTCTTCTATTTTTCTCTTTTATATATATATTTTATGTTATTTTCTTTTCTTTTTTTCATTAAATAAAAAAAAATTTGATAATAATAACAATAAAAATAAAAAAAAAATCAATTATTTAAATACTTCAACTAAGGGCCACACTGAACTTGGTACCTAGCAGGTAGCTCCTTAGCCAGTCTCGAACTTGGGTCTGCAAATGGTAGCCCTCTACCATGACTGTTAATCCATAATTCAAATGATACTAAAAATTTTAATATCACTCCTTATGGACATTAATAGAAGTACAATCATGTGTTAATTTTTCTTTTCAAATTTTCTTTAGAAAAATTATACATGTCTATATAAGTATTGGGCTAAGTATTGTAGTTCATTAGTTTCGTTGATTTTGAAGTTTAGATGATAATTCCAGATCTAAAACTTCAAATGTTGTTAATAAAATCTGAGTTCGGAATTATCAAACATTGAGTTTAAGAGTGTTAAATAGTTCGAAAGTGTCTTAAATGTCTAAGTCTAAAAATTTCTGAATGTCTAAGTCTCTAAGTTATAATCTATTGCTACTTTTAATTATAATTTACAATTCTGATTCTATAAAAATTTATAATAATATATAGTTATAACAAGAAACTAAGAAACAAATATAATAATAATATGATAAGTTATAAGAATAAATAATAATATATATGTAAATAAAAGTGTAATAATATAATAATAAAAGAATAACAATAAAAATAAGTAGAATAATAATAATGATAATAAGAATAAATAAGAATAATATAAATAAAATAAAATAAAATAAAAATATTAATATTAATAGTGTTAGTAATTTTGATTTCTGGTATTAATTCCAATTTACAAGTATTAAATTTATTTCTAGTTGATGTTAATACTTCTTTTCTTCTTTTAAAGGCTTCCGGTTATTTATCTAGCTATCATTTAACAAGGTTTTTCTTTTAATTAGGGCATTGGGTAGGTCTTAGTTTCTTTATTGGTCGGTCTCATGATATCACTCATGTAATTTACGGTATTTATTTATTTTATTTCTAAGATCACTGATTTTTACACTTCTCTTTGATTATCGATACAACTCTACTTCCACCTTAATTTTAACTTTATTTTACTTTTCTTTATTATTTTCTACCCCTTACTTATTAACAATCCTATTTTCTTTGTTACTCTTCTTTTCTATGCTAGATTAGGTCTTGATCGTCGGTCACTTCTTCATCCTTCATCGCATCGGTGTCTTTACATGTTAATTACATAGTAACTTTCCATAATAGCTTGTAGATCTCAAGCTACTTTCTTTTTGGTTAGTTTAATATAGAACTTAAATTTACTTTTTTTTTTTTTTTTAGTCTTTTATCGGTTATTAGGTCGATCTTGGATTACTTGATCACTTTAGCTTTTCATCGCATTGGTGTCTTCGTGGGTTCTTACTTTTTCAAGACAGTAACTTTTATATACAGTTATTAGTAGCTTGGCAAGTAGTGTTTCAAGCTGGGATTTCCTTTTTGTTGAAGAACTAGTTTTGGAATTCTAACTTAGATCAACATTGATCTTAGTTATTTTTGAATATGGGGGCTTCTTTTCGTTTGTTTTCTACCTTCTATTTTATTAATCTAGTTCTTTCTTTCATTTATAAAAGACTGTTGATGAATATCTTAAAGCGTCTAGGTTCTTGTAGATTCTTGTTAAAGACTTTCGTTATTCTTGGAGTCTTTCTTATCAATACTTAACGGAGCAGTATCGATGATAGTTTTCTGTCGATATTCAGTAGGGCAATATTGACAATGGGTAGTTTAGGTTAAGTGGGGATAAGTATATTTCTCTTCTTTTCTATCTTGTATATTCCTTGCCTTCAGGGTCGTTCCTCTTTTTATTTTTAATATCAGTGTTTTTTGTAGATCCAGGGCGGTTATCAAGTGGATATTAGATTTTCCATGCAGCATTCAAATTCGGTAATTAGTAACAACAGGAATCTTCGTCATGGGTCAAGTATATGGACTTTCTTTCAGCAATCGTGTTAATCTTTCATCGTCGAAGAGCCTCAATCAGAGAAATTGTTTTCTTGGAATTGCCAATTCCAAGCCTTGATGTATGTATAAGTTTTTAACACAAATAATTGATCTGGGATTCAGCACCCAGTAGCTATAACAAAATATAATACTAATGATAATTCCATTAGTAATACCAGGGAGTACTATAACTCCAAACAATTTTTAAATAAACACCAAGGAGTACTATAACTCCTAATTAATCCACACTAGGATTAATTCCCATAATAAAAAAAATATTATTACTAATAATTTTATGCACACCAAAACACATTTTCATATTACGTCTCACAGGCAGGCTTGCCCTTTGTATAAATAAAGTCCTCTTCAGCGTACGGCTTATCGGCAGGCTCACCAACTAGCCTTTTTGCATGACAGCTTACAGCTAGTGCCATCTTATGCCTCTTTTGTGTACGGCTTACTGGTGGGGTTACTAATTCTAAATAATAATTTCAAAAATAACTCTAGGCAATTTCCCGATTGTCTTTTGCGAGACGTACGAGGGATCATTTAATCCCAGATAAGTAATTTATTTTGTCTTTTTTTTTTTTTTTCAACTTCTATAATTTATATTTAACTTTTATTTAAATTTGGTTTTCTATCTCAGGTCTTTAGATAATCGTAGTTCTTTAAAAGTCTTATCATGGGTTTGCACTGTCTTATATCAGCTTGTATTCTTCTATACCTTAGGTATTGGACAGATGCTTTTAAAAAACTTTGATGGATAATAGAGCTTTTATTCCGATAAGTAATTTATTTTTGATTCGGTTATCCAACTTGTCTTCTTTGATTGCTTCATTAGAACCTTCGGTCCTTGTATTGGTCGTCACACTATTTCATGGTTGTATTAAAAAAATTTTTTTTTTAAATAAAGCTTGACATTTCTATCTAAACTTCGGTTAAATAAGTTCAACTATTAAGAGTGTGATGAATTCCATAAATTCTGTTTGATCTGATCAGTAATTTAATAAAAGCCCATCATTGATATATTTACTAGATCATTGATATCAGCTTCTATATAACTATTATGCTGATTTTATTTTATCAGTTTTTATACGTGCTTCAATATAATGCTTGGTCTGTACTTTGCTGATCGAGGTCCTGATTCAATTTGATTTGCTATATAAAGTCCAATGCTATGATATTTTAATATAGTTCTAAGTAAAATCCGGTCAATTATACTTTTGTAATTCTGAACCAAAGTCTGCTAGTAATTTTGTTGTCATTTTGCTAGTTAAGTTACATGTCAATGACATATATACTTCGAGTTCATTATTGCTTAATTTTCTTTAGTATTTAATATTTGGGGGTCGATTATATTCCCATGATTCTAAATAGTTACAGGTTATATATATAAGGGAGCTGACAGAAATCAGCTGATTTTTTGGTGGGTGGGTGGGTCAGTCAAAGTGTCAGGTGTAATTCTGGCCGGAATTATCAAATTCTGGCCAAAATTATAATATAAATTTATATATTAATTTATATATAAATTGAATATTGAATAACTTTTGATCTACTAGACCAATTTGGATTATTTAACTACCAAAATGATCCTCTCAATGATCTGATTCTAACAAGCCTAAAATCATCAAAATCCAATCACTAGATCCCGAGATCGGTATAGATTTATATACTATATACTATATAAACTATAAATAGTAATATATAGTATATAGTATATAAATCTATATCGATCTCAGGATCTAGTGATTGGATTTTGATGATTTTAGGCTTGTTAGAATCAGGTCATTGAGAGGATCATTTTGGTAGTTAAATCATCCAAATTGGTTTAGTAGATCAAAAGTTATATGATATTGAAATTTTTTATTAATTAATATATAATTTTTTTGTGCAATTTGATTAGCTAATAAGGTATCAGGTATGGGTGGGTGGGGGTAGCCTCTTAAGAGATGGAAATCACCTGATTTACGTCAGGCCCCTAACCAAGTTTTCTTCTGCTAGCTTTCTTTTAATACCACTTGTTAGAATTAAGTCTAATCGATCATAGTTCTATGCTGGGGTCGGTCAATACAATAGACTTTGTTTTTGTTTTGCGGGTCAGATCACATGTTAGTCATTACATTCTGGATATATTATCTTTGCTTGTAACACGTTAAGCACCCTTCTTTAAATGTGTTACTAATATGTGTGATAGCCGACATAATAGTTTTCCAATTAAGGTAACTATTAATATATACGCATTGGGTATTTCTATTTGGGATATGTAGGTTGTGCTTCTACCCGGGCCATGAATATAGTTATACTTGGGTTCTAAGTAGGCTAGTAATTTTAACTTTCAAAATAATCTTTGATTTATATTATGCTCTAACTTGTTTTTCCGGAATAAGTTTGTCTTGTCGAGATAATTTTAACTTTCCAGATAATTTTTAGTTTTTCCGAATAATTTTAGTGTTTCCGGATGATTTTTAGTTGTTAAATAATCTTAGCATTCCGGATAATTATTAAAAATCCAGATAATCTTAGTATTTCAGGTAAATTTTTAATTTCTGATATAACTTTTAATTTCACAGAGTGGTTTTTGGTATTTCCCAATAATATTAAGCTTTCCGGTGATGATGTTTTGGGTTTTCCGATATGATCTTTAATTGTCTGGGGTGTTTTTGGCATTTCTGCCAGGAGACACCAAAATGTTACAATACTACAGCCTTCTTGGTCAACATGTAGCAAGGTAACAAGGTCACCCGGTGCAGGGACCCTGCTATTGGGGTGTATATGGGGTGGAAGTGGAATATGCACTACTTCCACTAGCAGGAGGCAAACGGTTCGGCATGAGATCAGTATATTAAGTTAATACTTTCTTTGTTATAGGTCAAGGAGGATAACCTCACCTACTAGATTTACTTTAGAGAGAGTATATCACTTATACAAGATAAGAAGGTAAAGCTAGTGGGATACCACCTGTAATATAATTATATTACAGGTGGTATCCCACTTAAGTTAGATTATAGTATTACTATATAA